TGTAAAGTTTGGTTTATTTTACTTCATCTTCATTTCTTTTGCATAATGAGCTTCAGTTTTATTGTTAAAACCTGCAGCATTTGTGTTTCAATGCAAGACCCTGTTTGTTGAAACCAAATAAAACAAAAACAAGGTCAGATCGCAGTTTGGGACCTAACGTCAGCTGGGATCATAACAGGTAGGTCATGCAGGTTTTAATTGTCCTGTGGGTTAGTACAGGACCATTTTCCACATTGTCAGGTAGATACCAGTGTTGTAACTGTACTGGAACAGCTTGGCCAGGGGAGCGGCAAGTTCTGGAGCACAAGTCTTCAGTACTATTGCTGGAATGTTGTCAGGGCCCATAGCGTTTGCAGTATCCAGTGTCTCCAACCGTTTCTTGATATCACATGGAGTGAATCGAATTGGCTGAACACTGATATCTGTGATGCTGGGGACCACTGGAGGAAGCCGAGATGGATCATCCACTCGGCACTTCTGGCTGAAGATTGCTGTGAAAGCTTCAGCCTTATCTTTTGCACTGACGTGCTGGGCTCTTTCATCATTGAGGATGGGAATATTTGAGAACCTGCCTCCTCCAGTGAGTTATGTAATTTTCCATCACCTTTTACAACTGGATGTAGTATAACTGCAGAGCTTAGATCTCATAGACAAGTTATGCTGCAGCTTTCTTTATAGAACTTTAGTCAGGCCGCACTTGGAATATTGTGTACAGTTCTGGTCACCACACTACCAGAAGGATATGGACACTTTGGAGAGGGTACAGAAAAGGTTTACCAGCAGGTTGCCTGGTATTGGGGATTTTAGTTATGAAGAAGGGTTGGATAGACTGGGTTTGTTTTCACTGGAACACAGAAGGTTGAGGGGCGACCTGATTGAAGTTTATAACATTGTGAAAGGTATGGATAGAGTGGCAGGTATGAGGGATAAGTTTCTAGGGGACACTGCTTCAAGGTGTGGGGGGTGGTAGGTGTTAAGAGATATGCGAGGCACGATTTTCACACAAAGGGTGGTGAGTGCCTGGAACGTGCTGCCAGAGGAGGTGGTGGAAGCAGACACAACAGCAACATTCAAGAAGCACCTGGACGAATACATGAATAGGAAGGGAATAGAGGGATATGGATCCTGTAAGTGAAGACAGTTTCTGTATGGAAGGGCAAAATGTGGTGTGCAGGCTTGGAGGGCCGAAGGGTCTGTTCCTGTGCTGTATTGTTCTTTGTTCTTTGATCTGTTTGTGGATTTGCTTAGCTCTATCTATCACTTGTTACAAATGCTGGTTTGATCCATTTGGTAGCTTCACCAAGTTGACACCTCACTTCTCAGATACACCCATTGCTGCTTTTGGCATGGTCTACGGCATAACCAGGGCTGAGCCCCTGGCTTGATAGCAACGGTAGGATGGAGAAAATGCATGGCAGAGGTGCTGGGTGTCATGGTAACATCATTGGAGCCTCAGGCTAAAGGATTTAAATCCTACCACTGCAGACAGTGAAATTCAAATTCATTAACATGCAACTAGTTCCTAACACCATTCACTGAAGGAAACATTCTGGAAATAAAAACCGAAAGAACTGCTGATGCTGTAAATCAGGATCAAACACAGAAGTTGCTGGAAAAGCTCAGCAGGTCTGGCAGCATCTGTGAAGAAAGAAAAAACAGATCTGGTGACCCTTCCTTAGAACAAGGAATTTTCTGGCCTACAGGTGAACTAGGTGGGTTTTACAATAATTGAAATGATTTGATGGCCACCTTAGTAGCAGCTTTTTAATTTCAGGCGTGAACAATGAATTAATTCATTAATGACTCTTGTTCGTTAAGTAAGAAAGGGAGCTGGAAGAAAGAGGAGAGTTGTCCTGGAGATTAAAAGCTAAATATTTGAGGATTTTTTCAGCGTGTGTGGATCTGTATGAAAGGAGGGCCTCACTGAAGCGGAAAAATCAGTGTGAACATGATATTCTATGAACAGGCCCAGCTCACTGTTACTCACCTGGGGAATCATAATCTGGGAGCTCTCAACACTCAGGTCTTTGTGCTTTCAAAACACAATTCAACAAAATTAGTTCATGAATTTTGTCATCTTGTCCCTTTGCCAGTGTTATTATTTATTCTATTCATTTCTGAACTCTCCCAACAGTTCACATGTTACAGACACAAGTAAAATGGCAAAAACATAGACTAGATATTTTACAGAAAGTACTTTGAAACCCACGACCATTTCCATCGAGAATTTGTGAACAGATGTCAGTGATCCATTAGAACACTAACCAGAAGAGGCAAAACTATCAATAGTACAGAACTGGATTTTTTGTTACCAGGATTTGAGCTGCTGTATCTGAATTAGAGATTCCAATTTGATATCTAGAAGGACCAGATGCAGTGGAACACCACCACTTGCAAGTTCCCCTCCAAGCCACTCACCATCCTGACTTGGAAATATCTCTCTGTTCCTGCACCATTGCTGGGTCAAAATCCTGGAATTCCCTCCCTAACAGATTTGTAGAGTGCAATTGACTGTTAAAATGATGGCCTGCCCCTGACTGTCACCATTTATTTCAAGTCCTTAATGATGGGGGAGCTCCGCACATCAGGATAACGCTGAAGCATTCGCAGCAATCTTCAGCCAGAAGTGCCGAGTGGATGTGTGTGTGTGTGTATGTAGTGTGTGCGTGTGTAGTGTGTGCATGTGTGTAGTGTGTGTCTGTGTCTGTGTGTGTGTGTGAGAGTGCATGTGTGTGAGTGTGTAGTGTGTGCGTGTGTAGTGTGTGCATGGGTGTAGTGCCTCCTCCAGTGGTCCCCAGCATCACAGATACCAGTCTTCAGCCAATTTGATTCACTCCACGTGATATCAAGAAACGGTTGGAGACACTGGATACTGCAAAGGCTATGGGCCCTGACAACATTCCGGCAGTAGTACTGAAGACTTGTGCTCCAGAATGTGCCGCTCCCCTAGCCAAGCATCTACCTGGCAATGTGGAAAATGGTCCTGTACTAACAGATGCTACCAGACCTGCTGAGTTTATCCAGCAGTTTCTGTTTTTGTTTCTGATTTCCAGCATCTACAGGTTTTTCTTCTCAACTCAATTTTTGCTGCATTCACTCAGGCACACACCAGATGGTGTTTGTCTTCTGTTTGAATGTTCTCACAATCTGACGCTGACATTAGACTGATTGCTTACAGCATGCCCCCTGGCAATATCGACTCCATTCAGCAGTTCAAGATGGCAGCTCACTACCATCTTCTCAAGGGGCAACTAAGGATGGACAATAAATGCTGGACCCAGCCAGCGACGCAAAAGCCCCATGAATGGATAAAAGAAAAGTGAAGAATTCAAGACACAAAAGAAATTCTTAAGAATAGATGAACACCAAGAGAAATGGGAGACAGGAACTTCAAACAATCACTAGCAAAGGACAGTCAAATCAGGAATTGCTGGAGAAACTCAGGAGGTCTGGCAGCATCTGTGGAGAGAGAAACAAAGTTAACGAATCGAGTCTGGCCTGACTCTTCTTCAGACTCCAGCAGGTGTATTGCCTTAATAGCAGCAAAAATGGACTGGGACATCAGTAAGAACAAAGATCTGACAATTCCAGAAAACTGAAATTTAATGGATTGGAAAATAGCAAATGTGACACCTCTCTTCAAAAAAAAAGAAAGGTAGACAGATAACAAGAAACTCCAGGCCAGTGCATCGAGCATTTGTCATTGGGAACAGTTTGAAACCAACAATGAAGGAGGCACTGCATAACATTGAGAAAATCACTACTCAATAAGGCAGAGTCAATACCATTTAGGAAAAGGAAATTTATTTTATTAGAGCTTTTTGAGGAGGCCACAAGCAGGATGGATAAAGGTGACTCAGTTGATGCGGTGTATGTGGACTTCCAATTGCTATTTTGGAATAAAGTGTTACGTGAAATGTTATTGCACAAGATAAAAGCTCATGGTGTAGGGGGTACCACATTAGCTCAGCTAGAGGATTGGTTAACTAACAGGAGGTAGAACAGGGATAAAAGGGTCATTTTGGGATCAGCAGGTCGTAACAAGTAGAATACAAGAGGAAGCAGAGCTGGGACTTCAATAATTTACATAATCTCTGCCAACAATTGATGGAGGCTCCCAATGTAAGGTCACTACATTTACAAATATGACACACAGGGAGAAAAGCCACTTGTGACGAGGATTCAAAGAGCAACACATGGACAAGTGAAATTAGTGTGCAAAGATCTGACAAATGATGTCTAATGTGGGAACTAGTGAACTTGTCCACATTGGCAGGTAACCCCAGTCAGGAGACGGGGTCCCACGCGCACCGACTCTCACCGGGGTATGGGACCGGGACACTGGCTCTCACTCGGGTATGATTTTAACCAAGTGACAAGGACCAATATTTTCAAAAAGGATTTGAAACCAAAACACAAAAGGAATATGGGACCCTTACCTCTACCAGTAGTGGCACAGATTATAAGAGCAGGGAGGTTATGTTGGAGCTGTACAGAACTTTGGTGCGGTCACAGCTGGAGCACTGTGTGCAGTTCTGGTCAGTGCACTACAGGAAGGATGTGGTTGCACTGGAGGGGGTGGAGAGGAGATTCACCAGGATGCTGCCTGGGATGGAGCAGGTTAACTATGAAGAGAAGCTGGATACACTCGGCTTGTTTTCTTTGGAGCAGGGAAGGCTGGGGGTGACCTGATAGAGGTGTATAAGATTATGAGGGGCATGGACAGGGTTGATAGAAAGCAACTGTACCCCTTGGTTGAAGGGAAATAACAAGGGGGCATAACAGGAGGTTTAGAGGGGATTTGAGGAAAACCTTTTTTCACCCAGAGGGTGGTGGGGGTCCGGAATGCACTACCTGGGAGGGGAGTTGAGGTGGGAAACCTCACAACCTTTAGAACATACTTGAACAAGCACTTAAAATGTCATAACATTGAAGGCTATGGCCCAAGTGCGGGAAGTAGAACTCTGGGTGAATTGGAGCTGGATGGATGGGCTCCTTACCTTCCCTGTTGACTTCACACCTTTCCAAATACAGAAGTAGACGATAATCCAGGTGGCGAGGACACACAGGAGCATCTGCCAGTTAATAGATCCGGGGTGATCAATCCCAACGGAGATTCGCAGCACCTTCCTCCTGAAAAGGTTAAAGAGATGTGAAATCGACACGCAAAGAAATCATCGACAGGATGTGGGGAACAGGAGATTGGGATTAAACTAAATATCACCGCAGAGATCATCTGTATCTAACCTTGTTCTGTCCCTGTACTGGGAGTGTTTGGTGGGGGACAGTGTAGGAGAACTTTGCTCACAATTTATTTTTAGTTTATAATCAAGGGAGGTTTACTTTCAGATTACGAAGTACATCTTTCAGTTTAAAAGAGCAGAGTAAGTTTTACTCTGAGAAAGCCATCTCTACCATCCCCAAACGCACTCAGGTCAGGGAGAGAATGGGGTTAGATACAGAATAAAGCTCCCTTGACTCTTATCCAACCCTGTGCTGTTCCCATCCTGGGAATGTTTGATGGTGACTGTAGAGAGAGCTTTCTTTCAGTTTAAAAAAGAGTAGGGAGAGCTTTATTCCATACCTAACCCTGTGCTGTACCTGTCCTAGGAATTTTTGTTTTGTTATGCATAAGTGCAATGAGGGCATTGCTGGCTGGGCCCAGCATTTATTGCCTGTCCCTAGTTGCCCTTGAGAAGGTGGGGGTGAGCTGCCTTCTTGAACCACTGCAGTCCATCTGCTGTAGGTTGACCCACAATGCCCTTAGGGAGGGAATTCCAGGATTTTGACCCAGTGACAGTGAAAGAACAGCAATATATTACCAAGTCAGGATGTGAGAGGCCTGGAGGGAAATTTGCAGGGGGTGATGTTCCCATGTATCTGCTGCCCTTGTCCTTCTAGCTGGAAGTGGTCGTGGGTTTGGAAGGTTCTGTCTGAGGATCTTTGGTGAATTTCTGCAGGGCATCTTGTCGATAGTACACACGGCTGCTACTGAGCGTCGGTGGTGGAGGGAGTGGGATGTTTGTGGATGTGATGCCAATCCATTGGGCTGCTGTGTCCTGGATGGCGTCAAGCTTGAGTGTTGTTGGAGCTGCACTCATCCAGGCAAGTGGGGAGTATTCCATCACACTCCTGACTTGTGCCGTGTAGATGGTGGACAGGCTTTGGGGAGTCAGGAGGTGAGTTACTGGCCGCAGTATTCCCAGTTTCTGACCTGCTTTTGTAGCCACTGTGTTAATGTGGTGAGTCCAGTTGAGTTTCTGGTCAATGATAACCCCCAGGATGTTGATAGTGGGGGATTCAGTGATGGTAACACCATTGAATGTTAAGGGGTGGTGGTTAAATTGTCTCTTATTGGTGATGGTCATAGCCTGGCATTTGTGTGGCACGAATGTCACTTGCCACTTGTCAGCCCAAGCCTGGATATTGTCCAGATCTTGTTGCATTTGAACATGGACTGCTTCAGTATCTGAGGAGTCGCGAATGGTGCTGAACATTATGCGATCATCGGCAAACATCCCTACTTTTGACCTCATGATGGAGGGAAGGTCATTGATGAAGCAACTGAAGATGGTTGGGCCTAGGACACTACCCTGAGGAACTCCTGCAGAGATGTCCTGGAGTTGGGATGATCGACCTCCCACAACCACAACCATCTCAATGGAAGGTTTGCCCCCGATACTTATTGACTCCAGTTTTGCCAGGGCTCCTTGATGCCACACACTGACAAATGCAGCCTTGATGTCAAGGGCTGTCACTCTCATCTCTCCTCTGGAATTCAGCTCTTTTGTCCATGTTTGAACCAAGGCTGTAATGAGGTCAGGAGCTGAGTGGCCCTGGCAGAACCCAAACTGGGTGTCACTGAGCAGGTGCTGCTCAATAGCAATCACTTTACTGATAAGTAGTGTTTGATGGGGAGATGTTGTGGTTGAGTTATCTATGACCTTGGATATATATTTGCAGAAATTGCTGGAGAAACGCAGCAGGTCTGGCAACATCTGTGGACAGAAACAGGGTTAACATTTCGAGTGCAGTGTTCTGAAGGGTTGCTGGACTCAAAACTCAGTTAACTTTGTTCGTCTCTTCACAGAATCTGCCAGACCTGCTCAGTTTCTCCAGCAATTTCTGTTTCAGTTTCTGATTTCCAGCATCCACAGTTCTTTAGATTTTTTTTGGATATATATTTGTTGACCAGAAACTATTTTCGTTCCCCTCACAGTACAAATATCAACAAATCAAAAAGGGTTTGAGATCACGAACATGTTTGCTTTCAGTTTGAGGTCACACTTACTCCCAAAACTCAATGATGGGCGAGCGCTTTTCCACTAGCTCATCACAGCTCACATTGAAGGCCGTGGAGTTAACAACGGTCCCGTTGTGGCATTGATCATGCCGGAAGACTTCGGTACATTCTGGAGTGTTCCATGAGTTTCCACATGTTGCCCAAGGAAGATTGTTGGTGAAGGAATGGATGAGATAGTACAAGCCCCAGGCAAGCACCATGATATAATACGTGTTACAGAAAAACACGATCACCATCGAAGCGAAGCCCAAACCTGGATGGGGAACAGCCATAAAACCATAAGGAATAGGAACTGGAGTCGGCCATTCAGCCCCTTGAGCCTGTTTCCCCATTCAATAGGATCAGGATCCAACATTCTTCATGTCCGCTTTCCTGACCTTTCCCCTTCATTCCCCGACTGATCAAGGATCTCTATCTCAGCCTTAAATATACACAAGGACTCTGACCCCACAGCTATCTGTGGTAAGTAGCTCCAATGACACTCAACCCTCAGAAGAAATTCCTTCTCATCTCAGTCTTAAATTAATGTTCCCTAATTTTGAGACTATGCCCTCTGGTCCTGGACTCTCCCATGAGACGAAACATTCTGTCAGCATTGACCCTGTCAAGCCCCTTAAGAATCCAACAGGTTTCAACGAGATCACCTCCCATTCTTCTAAACCCCAGTGAGTAGAGTCCCAACCTGTTTAACCTTTGCTCATAAGGCAATCCCTCCATATTGAGGATCATCCCAGCGAACCCTGTGAACAGCCTCCAATGAAATGATACGTTTCCTTAAATAAGGGAACCAAAACTACTCACATTATAACAGTAGTTTTTGAATGAATGTATTCAGCCGAGTAAGTGACTCCGGACTTTTCCGATCCTGTCAATTCTAGAACGAGCTGAGGGGTGGGACAAGGTCAACAAACTGGAAAGGAAAAAACCAAATGCATGTGGGAGGGAGTGGGAATGCCTCAGATTCCAGCACAGAGCAAGAGGGTTACAATAGGGAGTCTTTCTGAGGAAGGGCAACTGGACCCGAAACGTTAACTCCGATTTTTTCTTCACAGATGCTTCCAGATGTGCTGAGCTTTCCCAGCTCCTTCTGTTTTTGTTCCTGATTTACAGCATCTGCAGTACTTTCGGTTTTTATTGAGTATCCCACTCTCTCCAGTCTCCCTTTAGAACTACACAGGAAATCGGAGACAGTATTAGATCCAAGGAAGAGGCAAACAATTGTCCAAAAAAAATCAACAGACCTGACAAGAGGTGGCAGTTTAGAATTCAAAAGGAGAACCAAGGGATTGATTAAGAAAGGCAAAATAGAGTATGAAAGTAAGCTGGCAGGGAATAAAAAGTGGCTGTAAAAGCTTCCTTTGATGTGATGAGAAAAAGATTGCTTTAGACAAATGTAGGTCCCTTACAGTCAGAAACAGGAGAGTTTATAATGGGGAGCAAAGAAATGGCTGACCAACTAAATACAAACTTTGGTTCTGTGTTCACAAAGGACACAAATAGTTGCTGGGCATCACAGGGTTTAGCGAGAGGGCGGAAGCTGAGGGAAATCAGTGTTGACAGGGAAATGGTGATGGAAAATTGATGGGATTGCAGACCAACAAATCCCCAGGGTCTGATTATCTACATAGCAGAGGGATTAAAGGAAGTGGTCTGAGAAATGGGGATGCATTGATGCTCATCAATTCCAGAGACTGTGGAACAGTTCTTAATATCAGAGGATAGCGAATGTACAATTTAGCCTGTAAGTTAAACAGGGAAGCAGAGAGCAAACAGGGAGTTCTAGACCATGGAATCAGACATCAGCACTGGGGAAAAAGTGTTAGAGTCCATGGGGGACCCATGCCTCACTCTGTGGCAATCTACTTTCCAACAGAACACACTGTCTCCAGGGCAACCAAATATCCAGGAGACATTTCCATGGAAACACATTGAGTATCGTTCCTAACTTTTACGTGGAAGGAGTGGCCAGTCAGGAAAAGTCAATGCAGAGAGATTGCTGTGATCCTGGCCCTGACCAGGGGGATCCTAGATGATCAGCCAAGGAGGAACACAAACTAGCTCCACCCTGGAAAGCACAGGGCCAAAGGAATAGGAGAACGAGGGGAGGCAATGGCCTAGTGGTATTATCACTGGAATGTTAACCAGAAACCCGGATAACATTCTGGGGACCTGGGTTTGAATCCCGCCACAGCAGATGGTGGAATTTGAATTCAATAAAATATCTGGAAGTAAGGGTCTAATGATGACCATGAGTCCATTGCTGATTGTCAGGGAAAAAGCTATCTGGTTCACTAATGTTCTTAGGAAAGGAAACTGCCATCTTTACATGGTCTGGCCTATATGTGACTCCAGACCCACAGTAATGTGTGTTGACTCAACTGCCTTCTGGGTAATTAGGGATAGGCAATAAATGCTGAATAAAAGAAGAGGCGGCCATTCAGCCCCTAGAACCTGTGCTGGCATTCAATATGATTAAAGGGGTTCTGAACCCAAACTCCAAAGATCCAGCTTTGCCCCCTATCCCTCACATCTTAGATTAACACAGACCTTTGTCTTCATTCTTAGGTGAGATGTGGGAGTCATTGGTAAGTCCAACATTTGTTGCCCATCTCTAGTTGCCCTTGAATTGATTGGCTGTGGAAGGCATTTCAGAGGGCAGTTAACCCCATTGCTGTGGGTCTGGAGTCACATGTGGGCCGGGACAGGTCACAATGACTGTTTCCTTCTCTAAAAGGACATTAGTGAACCAGATGGGTTGTTATGATAATGAACAATGGTTACAGTCACCATTGTTATCAAAAAGCTATGAATCAGAAATTTTGAGTTAACAATTGATCTAGTAATTGGCATTTGCAGAGAGAATTCTGACCTTCCTAGTTTTCTCACTCCATTCTGAAAGGTCTTACTATTTTTTTGGTCTCTGTCCTTTTTGTACAATTAGACCAAGGCAGAAGGTGTGTATGAAAGGTCAGTGTCCCAGTGGTAAAATTCCTGGTGCCCACCCCATCATGCTGACATACAGACATCTGAATCATAACAAGCCTCTTTCGAGGCTGAAGTAGACAGGGTTTTGATAAACGAGGGAGACAAAAGTTTGGAGGAAAGAACAGATGAGAAAGTGGAGTTGAAACCATAATGAGATCAACCATGATCCTATTGAATGGCAAACCAGACTTGAAGGGCTGAATGGCTTACATCTGCTTCTGAGTCTAATGTTCCTCAGAATCACAAAATTAGAGAACAGAAGGTGGCCACTTGGACCATCATGTCTGCACTGGCTATGAGTGTTTTAACTTCGTGCTTTTTCCTAAAGACTCTGCAAGTTGTTTCTACTGAAACAATTATCCACACCAGCCTTTGGAAAGCCTCAGCTGAACCTGGCTCCACCACACTTGTAGGCAGTGCATCAGACCCGAACCACCTCACATCTGTTTATTTTGCCAAATCGTTGAAATCCCTCGATTCTCAATCTGTTAAGGAATGGGAACAGCTTCTCCCTATCTTCTCTGACTAGACCCCTCATGATTTTGAAAACTTTTATCAGATCTCCCTTCTCTCCAAGGAGAGCATTCCCAACCTCTTCAATCTATCCCCATCACTGACATTTCTCATTCCTGGAACCATTTTGACAAACCTCTTCTGCACCCTCTCCTATACATTCAGAGCTCTCCCTCAATGTGGGGCCCACAACTGGACACAATAGTCCAGCTGGAGGTCTTGTACAAGTTCAACATCACACCTTACTCTTGTACTTATGCCCCTATTAACGATGCCTAGAATATGTGTTATGCTAATAGTTCTCTCTATATGTCCTGCACCTTTAAAGACGAAAGCACATCCAGGTCCCTGTGCCCCTCTAAATCCTTTAGAATTGTACCCTTTATTTTACACAGTCTTTTTATACTTCCCTGCATCAAACATCATCTGCCACCTCTCTGCCCGCTCCACCAACCTGTTAATGTCTTTTGGAATTCCACACTGTCCTCCGCAGTTTACAATACTTCCAAGTTTTGTGCCATCTGCAAATTTTGAAATTGTCCCCTGCACACCAAAACCATTAATATATCTCCAGAAAAGCAAGGGTCCTAATACTGACCCCTCAGGAATTCCATGACAAACCTTCCTCCACCTGAAAACTATCCATTGACCATTGCTGTTGGTTTCCTATCACTCAGTCAATTTGATATCCGCATTGCTACTATCCCTTTATTTCATGACATTTAACTTTTCCCACCAGTCTGTTGTAAAAAGGTGCTGTCTCTTTTTCAAGTCCATGTAGACCAGTATTACCCTCAGCATCCCTCTTACTTTTCCAGAGCTCCAGTAAATTAATGAGATACATTTTTTCCTTAACAAACCTATGCTGACGCTTCTAAATTAACCAGCATTTTTTTCCAGGTGACTATTAATTCTAGCCTGAATAATTTCTCAAAGTTTCCCCACCTTTGATGTTAGACTCATAGGATGCTATACAGGAACCAGACACACAGACAGACATACTATGACAGTTTACATTTATTCAGCATTTCCACATCAATAAGAACTCTCAGAACATTCTCCAGAATAGAATGGTTACAACAGGCAGATGAATTTATGGAATGAGTTTGAAAGTATGGGAATGCAAATAATTTTCTCAGACATTGTGTACTTTTCTGAGTTTCCCCTCTCTCCATTTTCCTGTCTCTCTGTCACGGCCTGTCCCAATCTCATACACACACAAATGGAAACCCCAATGAAATGAAACACACATTTTGATGTGATTTGTATCTCACCTTTGAAGAGAGGTACGATATTCCATGCACCGATACCTCCCTGTTTCATGAACTGCCCCAGTGCAATCTCTAAGAAAAAAACTGGGATTCCTCCCACCAAAACAATCAGCAAATAAGGAATGAGGAAGACTCCTGTTAAGACAAAGAACAGACGAAACATGGAGTTATTCTTTAATTGTAGATTTACAGGTTGTACAGAACTGAAATGGTTTGTTTTCACAGTTTCATATCCTCACTACAGAAGGTTAGAGGGTCAGGGATTTGATAGGTATCTACTTTTACAAATGAACTGCTCCCGGTCATAGTGAGCAGGATGTGTTGGACGTGATTGCATAAAACATTTACTTTCCATCCTGAGAATGGCTGTCTGCACTGGTCAGTCACTCTCAAAGCCAAGGCGTTAGTCCTGTCAATTTTTGTCACTCCCCCTCTGAGGCAAACATTGTTATGTAGATGCCAGTCTGTTTCCCTTTAATCATTTTGATGCTATTCTCCTCAACCACTCCCTGTTGGAGTGTGTTCCACATTCTCACTGCTCTGTGGGTGAAGATCTCTCTCCTGAATTGCCCATTGGATTTGTCACTCATATGTATAACCCCTCTGCTCTCACCCATGAGAGAACGTACCTTCTACACATCACCCCAAGAGATCAGCGTCCATCAATGAGACCATGACAGAGCCAGACTTGAAGACAGTGGGGGGAGATTTGGGAACAGATCACCCAGTCACCCCTCCTCCTGAGGATGTTGCACTCACTTCACATCAGGTTTCAAAATTTTCAAAGATGGGAGCCCAAACTTATTTTCTGAAAGAAATATCTGATTCATTCACATAATAATTCACTATTAAAATCTCCACCCTTTCCTTCATTAGCCTGGTCCATAGTTTGATGACACTCTCACCAAGATTTTATTTCCTAGTTTGTTCAGAATTTCCAGACTCTCCCCCCCCGCCAACCCCTCCCCCTTCAAAGACAACTCACGTCCCCTGGGTTCTCTCCTTTAACTTCTCATTTACTTCAGGTCAGGGTGATGGCCATAGAAACCCGCGTGGGCCCTAGTTATGCCTGTCTCTTTGTAGAGTATGTGGAACATTCCTTGCTCCAGTCCAAGTCTGGCCCCCACCCACAACTCTTACCCTGATATATTGATTACATCATTGGTGCGGCTTCCCTCTCTCATCTGGGATCGGAAAAATCCATTGATTTTGCTTCCAATTTCCACCCTGCCTTCACCTGGTCCATCTTAGAATCCACCCTTCGCTTCCTCGACATCTGTTTCCATTTCTGAGGATGGACTGGCCACCAACATCCACTACAAACACATCAACTCCCAGAGTTCGACAATCCATCCCCACACCCTCCTTCTTGAAAAGACTCTTCCACTCTCCCAGTTCCTCCATCTCTATCACATCTGTTCTGACGAGGCCAACTTTGACAAAGGAGCCTCCAAAATATCCACCTTTTTCCTCAACCGAGGATTCCCCAGCACCATGTTGACAGGGCCCTCAACCGAGTCTGACCCATCTCCCACACCTGCCCATTTACCTCCTCCCTCCCCAGTATCCAAGGGCCCAAACATACCTTCCAGGTGAAGCAACACTTCACCTGCACTTCCCAGAATCTAGTCTACTGCATTCGCTGCTCACAACGTGGTCTCCTCTACATTGGGAAAACGAAGCATAGACTGGGTGACCACTTCACAGAACATCTACATGTTGTCTGCAAAATAAACCCTAAGCTATCTGTTGCCTGCCACTTTAACGCATCACCCTGTTCCCTGGCCAACATCTTTCTTAGGCTTGCTGCAGCATAAGCTGGAAGAACAACACCTCATTTTCCACTTGGGGACCCTGCAGCTCTCCGGACTCCATATCAAGTTTAAACTTTTTAGGGCCTGAACTTTCCCATGCCCTTGCCCTTACCCTAACCCCCACACACCAGGCCTTGTTATCACATGGGCTGCTACCACACACAGCCTTGCGTCAGCCACTAATGATCCCCGTTAGCAGCTACTGATTCTCCCAAACTGGCCATTACTCATTCTTTTGTCCAACTGCTGTTCTCTCTCCCTGGGCTCCATCTCAACCTATCGTTTATTCCTCCTCATCTTCAGCATACATAACAACCTTTTCCCAGCTACCATCAGTTCTGAAGAAGGGTCACTCAACCTGAAAAGTTAACTCTGACTTCTCTCCACAGAAGCTGCTAGACCTGCTGAGTTTCTCCAGCAAATCCTGCTTATATTTCTGGTTCTACTGTTGTGTCAAAGCTCTTATAGTCCCATAGAATCCTGAGAAAAAGAATCATCTCTCTTTGCAGTCTTTTTCTTCCCACAGAGAACATCTCTCATTTAAATAACGATTCCTTATAATCCTCCAAGACTTCCACCATTCTGGTTACAGCCTTCCAATAATCCTGGTCTGAACAGTATTCTGTACTCTAAGTGGGTGAGCAATGGTTTATAAAGGAACAATGTCAGTGTAAATATTTTATCTTGCACTACTGGCACTAACTAATGTACTTTTATTTAATATATTAGAAATATTATCACTGTTCCTTCACTGTCATTGGGTCAAAATCCTGGAATTCCCTCCCTAGGGGCATTGTGGGTCAACCTACAGCACATAGACTACAGTGGTTCAAGAAGGCAGCTCACCCCCACCTTCTCAAGGGGGCAATTAGGGATAGGCAAGAAATCCTGGGCCCAGCCAGTGATGCCCACATCCCACAAATGAATAAGGACAGTGGTGTGGGGCTGGCTATTCATTTCCCTGATAGAGAGGACTTGACCCATTGCCGATGGTTGCGGGGGTGGAGAAAGAGGGGAGGGGGAGGAGGGGTCAGGGTGTAGGAGAGAATTTAGACATTGGGGTGGGGTGGGGGAAGCAGGACAGGGATGGGTACAGGCAGAGGGCAGGATGGTGAGGGGAGGGAGGGGTGTTGGAGGAATGGGAGTGTGGGGAGAGGGAATGGGAGTGGGGGGGTGGGGGGTGGGGGGTGGGAATTGGGAGAGGGGGCCGTGTTGATGGTGTGTCAGAACCCAAGCGCTCCAAGCCCCTGTGGGACACAGAACTCTGCAGCGGTGGGATCCTCCCAGGCGGACAGCAGGAATACTTGAGGGGAATGGCCTCACAGCCTTCCTAAAGGGGTCACACACTCCCCACCCCCTGGGGAGAGGGGGGATCTGACCGAGCAGAAGGCAGCGAGCGGGTTGAGAAACTGCATCGAGCCCTTGGAAAAGGGGTAAATGAAGGTGCCTTTATTTGTCCCGATTCTGGCAGCACATGGGGCATTATCGGCTCCCTCTGAACTTCAAACTATCACCCTCAGTCTCCAGGGAGGGAGGGAGGGAGGAGTGAACATAGAACATAGAACACTACAGGAACTTCGGCCCTCGATGTTGTGCCGAACTTTTACCCTAAACCTGAGGTCCATCTAACCTCCATCGCTACCTTATACTATCATCCTTTTTTTTCCTGAAAAGTCATCACAAAAATTACAGTGGAGGGGTGGGGGGGAGGGTGTTCTTTTGGCAGGTCCCCATCTCATGGGAAGGGGCTTCCTCTGGAATTAAAGTGAAATCAAAGCAGAAAGTGCTGGAGAAACTCAGTGGGTCTGGCAGTACCTGTGGAGAGAGAAACAGAGGTAATTTTCGGAATTGTCCAAATTACCAGACAGGGAAATATAACTTTCTCCCCCCAACCCCAGCTCTCTCTGTGGGGGTTTGGTTCAGATCCCCAGGCTCCGAGGATCTGTTTCACTCTTCAATTCTCTGCTGGCTCTCGGACTTTCTACTCGATCCCACGGGAATAATCCCAGGATCTGGGAAGGCTCGACAGATAACTAATTGCATTAGCAATAGCCTGCTCTGTTACCACAGTTACTGAATACTAATGCACTTTCTCAAACACTATCGCCGAAGGGTTAACAGTTTTAAATCCCAGCCTGAAAGCGGAAAATTTTAATTCTTCTTAAATCCTCCCTTTCATCTGATTTTTAATTTACAGAAATCCCCCACCGAGCACACACCACCCCCCCCCCCCCCCCCCCCCCCCCCACCAAGCACACACACTTCCCCCCCACCCCACCACCGAGCACACACCCCACCTCCACACCCACCCCCAGCCCAGGAGCACGCCCCCTCCCCCACACACACCCCCACTCCCCCCACAAGGTGGGGCCACTCTCAATCCTCCTTTCAATCCCTCCAAATCAAAACGCGAAGCAATCTCCTCAACCAAACAGAGATAAC